CTCGTATCGATACATCATAGAGTTCCAGGCACTTTGAAGAAATAAGAGAAACCACTTCTGTGCGAAATAATCTACTTTGGTGGAATATCTACATGAGGAAGCACAGTCATACAAAGGGCTAGAGAAAACACAAAGTTTGCCCTCCAAATCACGTTGACACAAAAACAGCTATTCAGACGGCAAGCTGCCCACTTGTATGTATAATTGCCATCCAAATGACAAGCACAGTAAACAAATGAAAATCATGAGTGATCACCATTTGTGTTGTACACAAGTTACTCTAAAATCTGGACTTAAAAATGCATTCAGATGGCAGGTGATGCTGAACTACAGAACTCAGGCTTGCTTAATCCTTGATGCAGAACAATTTTAATTTCCAAAGGGGACATTGTGTTTTGTTAAAAGCTCTGTTCTGACTGGCAAGACACTGATGACTAGTGTGTTCTTCATGTATCTGGGGTTCTAAGCCACTAGACCATTTCCCATCACTTCCGTTGAAGATCATATATCATTGCCATTTGGGAACATCATCGTTCATAGAGTAAAAGCACACAGCAATAGAAAGATTCCTCTCCTGTTCCCATTAAAAACTCAATCCTGTTCTCAGCAGCAAGGCAGAAAGGCTGGCTCAATGCAAAGCATTCATTTATACAGTCCAGCGACCGCTTTACAAAGGGTTCATAACAGATAGAGGAATAGACAAGAGAAAGGTTTTCAGACAAAATTCAGAGCTTCAGTTTTTCTCCTGTTTGCATTAAGCACCACACACAGCTTTTGAACTACAACAGAAAGGATTTTTTTGGCCACAATTTAAAGAAATTTATGGTATATGGATTATTTTCTCTTCTATATACACTCATTGAAATCATTTCAGTATCAAGACAAGAGGAAGCGAATGTTCACAGTACTTATACTGTATCTGTCTCATTCACAGGTTGCTGACTTAAAACTAATTCATGGCAACTGTACCACATTCAATCCGCAACAGACAAAAAAAAATGGTTGCTTTTAAATAAAGCTGCAAAGATAACACCAAAAGAAACCGGGTCCATGTTTATATGCTGTAGGTAAGCACAGCAAACTCCCAGTAAGGAGTAGGCCTACATTCTATTTTAATTCATCAGAACATTCACTGTTCTCACATAGGGAAGGTAGATATCAGGAGCGAAATAAGAAATCTGGTAAGCTACTGAATGCTTTTCCAGTATTTGGTCTAGCATTATCAGCCCCGAGAGAGGAACAATATACAGCTGATTACCATTTTCATGCTTTCTATATATGCTATGCCTGTCTAATATATATAGTAAGCATCAGGTTTTAGTTGTTTTTCTTATCCCCAAACTTCACTCAGGGACAAAAAGTAATCATGTCTGGCTTAAAAAACTGTATAGTCTTAATACTGCTGACAAAGCAGTTCATTGGGCACATCCCAAAAAATTATCATCTGGACAGACAACAACAAAAATCTAATTAAGAATGAAAGTAAAGGTTAAATGACCAGAATGGTACTTAATTTGACTATAAATGAATAGCTTGTCCATTATAAATATAATATCCTGCACGCATGGCAGAGAGAAGCACCTTGAATCTCAAGACGTAACTCCTTATAAAGCATGCAATGAAATCACAAATTATACAAATACATGAAGGAGAACAATAAATGGGCCTGAGTGTTAGGTCTTGATAGAGAGCAGACATGAAGTAAACTACATATTTGAAACAGTAGCATATTTCAGGTAAATAATCTTTGTTGGGATTATTGCTAAATCAAAGTAGAAGGCACATAAAGGCTGCAAGGAGTCAGATTGGAAGCAACTATTCAGCAGGTGTTCATTCTTTATCTTCACAGAATCACAGAACAGCTGATGTTGGAAGGGACCTCTGGAGATCATCTAGTCCAACCCCTCTGCTCATGTAGGGTCATCTACAGCAGGTTGCCCAGGACCACGTCCAGACGGCTTTTGAATATCTCCAAGGAAGGAGACTCCACAACCTCTCTGGGCAACCTGTGCCAGTGCTCTGTCACCCCCACAGGAAAGAAGTTTTTCCTCATGTGCAGATGGAACTGCCTCTGTTTCAGTTTCTGCCCGTTGCCTCTCTCCCTGTCACTGGGCACCACGGAGAAGAGTCTGACCCCATCCTCTTGACACCTTCCCTTCAGATACTTACACACATTGATCAGATCCCCCCGAGCCTTCTCTTCTCCAGGCTGAACGGTCCCAGCTTCCTCAGCCTTTCCTCACAGGAGAGATGCTCCAGCTAAAGATGCCCTTTATCATCTTAGGAGCCGTTCAATGGACTTGCTCCAGGCACTCCATATCTCTCTTGTACCGAGAATTCCAAAGCTGGACACAGTACTCCAGGGGGGGCTTCACCAGGGCTGAGGAGAGGGGCAGGATCACCTCCCTCCACCTGCTGGCAACACTCTGCCTAATGCACCCCAGGAGACCATTGGCCTTCTTGGCCATGAGGGCACATTGCTGGCTCATGTTTAACTTGCTGTCCACCAGCACTCCCAGGTCCTTCTCTGCAGAGCTGCTTTCCAGCAGGTCAGCCCCCAGCCTGTCCTTGTGCATGGGATTATTCCTCCCCAGGTGCAGGACCCTGCCCTTGCCTTTGTTGAACTTCAGGAGGTTCCTCTGCCCATCTCTCCAGCCTGTCGAGGTCCCTCTGAATGGCAGCACAGCCCTCTGGGGTATCCAGCCACTCCTCCCAGTTCTGCAGCATCAGCAAGCTTGCTGAAAGCGCAACTGTGTCCCTTCATTGATGAATAAGTTAAACAATACCAGACCAAGTATTGATGCCTGGAGGATACTGCTAGCTACAGGCCTCCAACTAGACTCTGTGCCACTGACCACAACCCTCTGAGCCCTGCCATTCAGTCAGTTCTCAGTGCACCTCACCATCACTCATCCAACCCACACTTCCTGAGCTTGCCCATGAGAATGTGATAGGAAACACTGTCAAAAGCCTTGCTGAACTCCAGGTAGACAACAGCCACTGCTCTCCCCTCATCTACCCAGCCAGTCATTCCGTCATAGGAGGCTATCAGATTGGTCAAGCATGATTTCCCCTTGGTGAATCCATGCTGACTACTCCTGATCACCTTCTTGTCCTCCACATGCTTAGTGATGGCCTCCAGGATGAGCTGTTCCATCACCTTTCCAGGGATGGAGGTGAGGCTGACTGGCCTGTAGGTCTCTGGCTCCTCCTTCTTGCCCTTGATATCTCGTAGTTGTAGTTTGATTCTATCGTGTGTTTTTTTGCTCTGCCTTTTTTTTTTTTTTTAAAACAGAACTTTTACAGTTTCCATTGCTGTGTTATCCAAGTTTCACAATACATTAAATCAACTCAATAGAAAAGCCAGAGGAATATTACAGTTGTTGCAGATGCCAAACTTCTGTCTGGTAAGCACACCTGCATGCACTGTGCTTGGATAAGTACCTTCGTTTTACCGAGTGGTACCCAAACATTAAGTCCCATGGGACTTACAGAATTTCTGCGTGAGAAGAAAAGAAATACCTGGATGCATGAATGTCCTAATGCAGACAGGTGTATACACCATCATTTTCCTTTTTCTAACCTACAAACGCACATGCATCTGTTTGCTTTGAACTCATTATGTATCATGAATGAGTACATTTACTCAGCCTTGTTCCATGAAGGTCACTCCATACATTGCAGTTACAAGAGAAAGACAACATGCACTTAGCAGCAACCCAAAGTTTGATTGATCTAGCTTACAAAAAGGAGTCTTATCTAGCCAGACAGTAAGAAACACCATTCGCTTGGACCCATTCTATAACACATAGTGTTCTCCTTCAACAGGCTTAGAATTAAGATGCAATCATAGCCTCATTAAAAAGAAAAAAAAAGAAAAGAAAAATTTTGTTCTTGTCTTGTTCAAATTGATGGCAAAACTCATATCAACTTCATCGAAAGCTGAACTGGGCTCCGAGCA